GGGGGCATCCCCCTGAGGAGGGGATCACCCCAAGGGAGCAGCACAAGAGCCGCGATCCTAATTGCAGTTTATCAGCCTCCTTAATTAAAGCAGATTTGCATTTCTGTGAGTGCCTTGCTGCTGGCAGAAAAGAAACCAGCAACAAACGGGGCTGCAGGGCAGGGAGAGGGAGGAGGCAGGGGCTGGCAGATCTTCCCCTGCCCCAGCTCGGCTGTTTTGGACGTTTGCTCTGGGTTGTCGCTCTTGTTTTTGAGTGTGTCGCTGGGTTTGTCGGAGAACACAGCCTTGTCATCATGCCCACCCACCCCCACGTGCGTGGAGCGATGGGCAAACCCCGTCGGGCTCCGTAGTGGCCACGCAAAGCGGAAGAGCTGCCACAGGGGTTGTTACAAGAGGCCAGCATACCGCCGGGGACGGCCTCAGTGGGGTCTGGAGCCCAGGTCTCTGGGCTGGTTGGAGCGGGAGAGCTTGCTGTGCTCGTCCTCTTTCCCATCGAGCCATCCTTTGTGGATCTGAGAAACTCGTGGGCTATTGAAATCACCCCAGTAACACCTTCCTGCACCAAACTTTCACGCTCCTCAGATGCTTCCCATGGAGATACAGCCCTGTCCTTCCCTCCCTTCACTTCACCGACCAGTGACGAGACACCCGGTTCTGGCAGCTCAGGAAATTACTGCTGAAAGTGAGCTGCCGTCAAAATTGGTGATAGCAGGAGCTGTGCGTGAAGGAGAAGGTCAGGACTTGTTTTGATGTACTGGTCAGAGCTGTATGTTACTGGAAAAGACAAAAAAGCGCCATTTTTTGTTGCGATTTGTCTGCCCAAATGCTCTTCTTCAAGATGTTTTCCTAGGCACGCTCCCAAGGCGTGCATCATTCTCATTTATCCGCCTTTCAGAGGTGCTGGTGGGGGTCTCAGGAGAGTTCAGCTGGTTCCTCGCTTTGCCTCCCTTCAGGAGGACGCAAATGGCACCTTGCCTTCGTGAAACAGCTCCCTGCAAGCCCGCCCGAGGTGGCCACGGCAGCCAGCCTTTGTTCTCCGCTCCCCGCACCGGCTCCAAGAGCGGAACCCTGCCAGCAGCCAAGCGTGACGGGCAGATGGCCCTAAACGCCTGCCGGGGCTTTCTCCTCCTGGATGGGACGTGCCATGGGGGACCTGTTTGGTCCCGTCACCCTCCAAGGGTGGCGCAAGGCACGCGGGATGAGCTTCTCGGCTAGCTGAACGTGTGCTAGGTGATCCTCCTGCTCGCCTGCCCTCACCGCCGATGAACCCAAAGCCACCAGAGGCAAGAGCAGCGATGGGATCTGTTAAGGCCAGGCCTAAATAATGAAAAAAAAAAAAAAAAAAGCCACCTTCTTTCTCTTTCAACGGTTGTATGTTACTTATAAATTCTGGAAGAGCTCCAAGACTGGGGGACGCTAGAGAAAAATGGCTTAATAATCATTAAAAGGATCATTTTCCCCGAGGCGAGTGGATTTTAAATGGCACAAATGCCAGCGGCTTTGGGTTTTATTATTGCTTTAGGAGTCCACAGTCGAAGGCTTATCATCATGATAATAGCCTATGACTAAAGACCATTTGTGAGACGAACATGCCCAGAAATAATAGCACGAAGTTCCAGCCTCTTCACATTTGGGGCCGGCGTTTGATTCTCCACCGGGCTCTGGCTCCTTCTGAAAGCTGCCAATCTCGGGCTTGGCATTCAGCGCTAAGTGTGAGACAGCCCACAGGCAGGAAAAAGGCTTTAAACCATGTTGCTATGGATATAAATGATGGAGCTATCGGTTGCAGTTATTTTTAGCAGGCCGGTGCCCATTTATTTGCGCGGTCCTGGCGGCTCGCACAAAAGAGAAGGCGGCTTGCTGACTCGGGAGCCTCGGAGGAATGAAAAGATGGCCTCGACTTCTCCAGCCTGCTTGAGTCCATCCCAACCTTTCCTCTCCCAAGCCCTCGAAAGGATGGGAATGGTTTGGCAGGAGAGTTGGGTTTAACTCCTGGCTTCCCGGGCTGGCTCGGATAGGACCATCCCAAGGTCTCCATTCGCCAGCATCCCTCAACAGGCATGAGCTGAGGGGACACCACGATGTTCTCCTGACCAAGCAACGCGGAAAGTCAGCCCTTGCTCTGCTCCCACCTCTCCGGCAGCTTGTTGGGGTGAATCCCAGGCAAACCAAAGCCTGAAGGAGCCACCCGGGGTTGTCCAGCCCTTCTAGCAAACCTTTCCTTGCAGAGCAAGATGGGCAGGGGTGGTGGTCCCTGCTCAGCAGCCCCTGCCGAGCCCGGATGCCGCACTGACAGACCGTACCGCAGGCAATCCTGCCGTGGAGGTCATCTTGGGGTGCTTCTCCTACCAGAGCTTCAACCAGGCTCGCGT